CTTTTGCATAACGCATAAAGCATGTGCATAAGAAATTTCATTGGTCCATTTTCTTATGCATGAGTCAATGGACCAATCAAATTCTTTATGTATATGGTTTATGCGTTATGCAAAAGTCTGTGCTCCCCGCTTAACGTTACGGACGCAATCCCTATGCTGGATTCACACTGCATCCGATTTTCGTCGTACGACGACTCTGCAATCAATCAGAAAAATCGTAACATCGATACGAAGCAAAATTTTGTTTTCTGATTGGTTGCAGAGTCATTGTACGACGAAAACCGGATGTTGTGTGAATCCAGGGGCTCTATTCTTGAAAAGAAACGGATACGAAAGTCTAGGGAAATACTACAGTATACGTTACGTATACTATAGTATTTTCCTAGTTTTTCGTATACGTTTCTTTTCAGGGATAGAGCCCTAGCACTACTACTTTTGCGGACATTCGGTGCGGATTACGGATTGCGAGCTGTATGTGATGGCACCCTAAAAAGGTGTATATTAAAAAATTTTGTTGCAAACAATTGTTGCGACCTATGACAAAAATGAACATAATCGAGAAACAAAAAGAAATATTACTTTTGTTTATGCAAAGATGTCCCGATTTCGGCAGAATACGTTTACGATACAACAGTGAAAATAAACGAAAAATTGTAAGAATATTATAAATATTAATTATTATTTTTCTTTTGCTAATTACATATTCACAAGTGTGCTTTTTTATATAACTTTTGAAATGAACTGGGATATCGAATGCATCTTGTGTATCCCGTAATCGTTTTCCGATTAAATTTAAATTTTTTTTGCGAATTTTGTTGTCATTTTCATCTTCCTCTATGCAAAGAAGCATAAAAATGTCCATTGATATGCCTTAAATAAGATAAATTTCGAATTTCGACTGATTTCGACACACTTTGGCACAATTCGACAAGAAATTTCTTGCCGAACAATCTTACGTGAAAAATATCGCATTCTCACTATGATGAAAATTAGCCAATCAAGTGAGAGCTCACTTTTATGATTTTCACTTGATTTTAAGATACATACACAATCACCCCCCTGATTGGTTCTACTTTTTAGAAGACTGCGCATCCACGGGAATGCTATTGTGTTTTTATCATGTCTCGAATGCTTGTGAGAATTGGCGCGAGTCTCGTTGGACCTCTGGTGGCGGTCGCCATAAGGTGGAATAACGAACGCACCTAATTGTGTGGGTTCGCGGAGGCAGTAGAGGCAGGCGAAGTTAAGGCGAAGCCATACGAAGTAAGGAACACAGAAAGGGCTCGGAGGAACAGCAGTAGCAGAAGTAGGGATCGCGCAGCCATTTTCTATTTTTGCATAGCGCCGCAAGAGCGAGAGAAACCAGTGCTGACCAGTGCGTGCCAGTGCGTGTGCGCATGTGGTGTGTGTGCATGTGTGTACAGGAGACGTTTATTTTATTGTGTGTGATACGGAGATCGATGGACTGACGGTGATCGGCGGCGAGTTGCTGCACTTAATACGGACCGTGTTGTGGTTGTGACACGAGATGATGGTTGGACGAAACACGATAAAGAGATCCTGCGATCGTGTCGTTCGCTTGTTAACTGTAACAAGGTTATACCCTGAAGCGGAATCAATCACTTTTTCCTTCTTCCTTACACATATATGTATATTTATCCTTCTATTTATTATTGATGGAGGGGATGATCCGACGCATGCGCACAACGTTCAAAGTACGCTGAGAAAGAGAGAGAAGTATATTCCCGCACCGTGGTTCTGGGACATGGACTTCTCTCTCATCTAGCCATATAGTAGTATTACATATATGGTGACGATAATCTAAGTGCACTAGCGGGGAGCACAGA